AGCTTGAGATGTAAATCTCATGATAGCTTGAGATGTGAATTCTCCTGGTAGATTGAGATATAAATTCTCATGATAGCTTGAGATGGTGGATCGCATGATAGCTTGAGATGGTAGGTCTCAAAGGTAGCTTAATATAGTTAATCTCAAGGAGGCTTGAGTTGAAATGCTTATGGTAGCTTGAGATGTTGAATCTCATGGAAGCTTTGGTTAAATTACTCATAATAGCTTGAGTTGATGAACCTCATAATAGCTTGGGATGGAGAAAGTGAGCTCTCTCATGTTTAGCTTGGTCTTGTGTTGCAAGGATGCTTGATAATGGTAGCTTGGGGATGGTGGTTCGCATGTTAGCTTGGGATGGAGGAAGCAAGCTATCCCATCATTAGCTTGGTCTTGTATTGAAAGGATACTTAATCATGTTATCTTGACTTGTTCAGGCCCAAATCATTTCTTGGTAACTTTAGGGGAAACGCCTATACTCTCATAATGTTAGCTTGACTTGCATGCAAGGTACATTTCATGGTAGCTTGATTTGCATGCAAGGTGCATTTAATGTAATAACTTGAGATTAGTTTCTCATTATAGATTAGGGTTAAGGATTCATGATCCCCTATGATTATCTACATGGTGGTTAGGATGGTTGTATCCTTCCTTTAGTTAGCTTGGTTAGTATGTTAAGAAGCTTTCCATGGTAGTAGGTCTATTATGATAGTATGTTGAGCTTAATAGACAATGATGAAAGATAAGTTAGCTTGGAGTAGGGTAGTGTAGAGGAGTACTTAGTGTGGATGGTAGTATGGGATAACATTCATACATTGCACAAGTATGACTTGAAGCTACCTATGACATGACCACTATATGATGTATGCTTAGCTTGGATAGTTGCTTTCCATGACATGATTGATTTAAGATGATAGTTCCTTATCAATATGAAATATTTATACTAGAGACTTATAAACTAAAGTGAAAGATAATAGGGTGACTCCAAGACCTGCTTATTTTGTGAGGTAGAATGAAATGCTTCACATGCATTGCACAAGTGTGCTTTGAGGTGGACTAGGGGCATAGTGCTCATATGTTATGATGAACTTAAGGTCTTAATTATGAAAGTAGAGTATGATAAATAATGACCAAAGAGAGGTACTTAGCTTTGGTATTAGTATGAGATGCTACCTTAGCGTTGCACAAGTATACTTGAAGGTGGCTAGTGAACTATTTCATTTCAGTAAGAAAGACAATGAGTTAAGTATGAACTCTTATATCTTTTTGATGTTTTATATGCTTATCATATTCATGTTATGATTATGTGTTTATCTGTTATGATTATGTGTAGTATTGACTAACCATATGGGATATCTTATGTTTATTATGATTGTTTCCGTACTTGGAACATTTCATGCTAATGCATATTTTGCCTACATTCTAATCTAATGTAGGGTCTTGAGGAGATTGAGTTGCTTTGAAAGGGTAAATTTTCCAAGGCTTTCAAGAAGTGAAGATGGTGAGTCCTCACAGCATCCGAGGACACCACCACTATGATGTCTTTTATGTTCTTTTCTATTACATCCGGGTTTACCCCCCAGATGTAATTGGCGTCGTCGTCCTTTTCAAGGACTAAGACTAGCCTCTTAGTCTCGTTTCATTACATTCAAGGTTTCAAAATGCGGAAAAATTTAAAATTTTCATTATCACTACTTGGAGGTTTACATAGACCTCTACATACACATAATATATATTTCATATCGAGTATACATAGACCTTTCATATATAAAGGTTACATAGCCTTCTACTTTTATCGCAAATATACATATACAAGATAAAAACCATAACCAATGTCAAACTTTACATAGCATAGCATTTAGGTTTACATTTCATCATATATTAATGTTATGACCCACGACATACTCATAAATGAACTAATCAACATATAGTATCAACAATCTGCCATGGTCACCATATATATATATATCATATATTATCATAACATAAACATACATAAGAACCTCCTCCTAAGACTCCCTTCAACGCTAATTAGTGCAATGTTTAGATAGAGTCCCATATCCCTACCTAGACTAAGCTAGACCTCTTAGGTTATCCAAGTTAGAGTTCAAGTCCTTTAATTCATTTTACTTTTTGGGAACATCTTGCCCTAACTGACATAGACCACATCAGCTAGTGTGGAATCCGGTGTCATACAACCCTACACCAAAAGAAGATGGACTACTTGCCAAGGTAGTACCAAAACATGAATAATAGCAACTACGTGGATCCACTAGCTAATATTCCTATGGGAGGGGGGCAACATAGTTCAAGAACTAGGAGATATAGTTGGGACCCTCTTTATGCGACATGCATTATAGTCTCCAATCATAAGAGTAATGTAGTATTCCTACATTCCCTATATGGGAACGGACACTCCTCAATCTAGTTCAGTCGGTGCTAAGCTAGAGTCCCTTTTTGAAATGTCTTTAAGCCTTTAATTATCAATCATAGTTTAGTTTAGGTCATAGGGTCTACCCCTTGTATAATCATCATCATCAATAGCTCAATAAGAATTTTATAAGTCCTTTTATTACAATTCACATAAGTGAGGTTAACACATTAGCATTTCATAGCATATCAAGGCACATTGATAGTTTTCACTATCCTTATATCACATACACCTTAATCAACCTCACAACATAGTCAAGAAATTTCAATTCAACATCATACCACCCTATAATCCTAATATAAGGCATACTCCAATGTAATATCATGACTTAACAACAATTAATCACAATTGGAATTAAAGATAGAGACTCTAAGACGTACTAAGTCTTCCTCATAGTCTATCATCAAGGTCTTACCATCAACCCATAAATCAACCCAATTTGGGGAGTAACATCATCACACGATGATAATCAATAGGATAATAACGCCAATTGCATTTCTATAGCACAATTCAACACTAGATCATAACTTAAGACCAGATACATAGGCTAATTTTACAATACAATTCATAACCTTAATCACATATCAAGAACTAGAATGATAGGCCTATAATTCATATTAATATAATAATAATAACACAATAGGATAGAAATCTAATCAACAACCAAATAAATTGAATGATCACAATACAATATAGATCAATATCATTAGCTAGGATTAGGGATGGAGGATCATATTCTTCAATTTAGACCAAACCACTAAAAATTACAATAATCAAGTTGAAATTAATGTTAGTATATTCAATATAACCTAAATAAATCATTAAAAACTCAATCCATAACTTCCATTTCGTAATTGAAGAAACCCATAAGAAAACTCAACTTTTGAAATCCATGTTGAAGGAACCCTTTGAGGAAAGATTCTCAAAGGTGAATTATATCCCATACCTTAACTTTTGAAAACAATTTGATGGTGAATTCTTCCATTTCCATCCCCAAACCCTTCTCCTTGCTAGCCTTCAATGGTGAGTTCAAGTAGAGAGAGGAAGAAGCGAAGGAAGAGAGTTTGCATTTGAGATTTGTCTTAGATTAATGAGGGTTGGGATTATTTATATTTGGTCTTAAATAAAATTAATTAGACTCAATTAACCCCTAATTAAACCACCTAACCCCCTAACTAATTATATGAGACCAACTTAAATTAGTCAAAAAACTCGACCCTCATAGACGACACCCCAAATTACGAGCCGTCTGTGAGTCTACGGACCCTTCCCCTTTTGTCCTGCACTCCGTCGATGAGTTCAGAGACTGTGAAGGAGAGAGGCTTCCATGCATTGTCTAAGTGTGAGACGACGGTGGTATCGATGCCCTGTCGATCCACACACGGACCATAGTTGCACCTCTCACTCCGTCGATGAGTTTAGAGGCTGTGCGAGTGAAGGGACCTTCTCGACCAGACTAAGTGTGGGACGAAGGTGGCATCAACACCCTGTCAGTCCACACACGGCGCGTCTTCTGTCCCGTCAATGCACACTGCCAGGCAATGTTGCTTCAAACGCTAGGGTCCTCCTCAAGGGCCCTTGGTTGGTCCTTGGGGAGTCATACCCGGATGTTTCGACCATGAAACAACCTAAACACATATTAGAAACCCTTCCACTAATTTTTGTACATTTTTGACTACTAAAAGTTAGTAAAATAGGCTGAGGCACATTAACACCCCTTTGAACCAACTTCCCGGATGTCATGGACGTTCTTGGACGTTTTGGTTCTTAAACTTCCTAAACGACCTATATTAATTAAAATGGACTTAAAAACAGTACTTAATCCTTATTAAAACCTATATTATTCTTTACAACACGTTTTAGATTTTCAAGGTGTTACATTTTCTATTTTTAGACTTTTATGGGTTGTGACCCAAGACTATTGTAGTCATGATGTCATAGATGGTTTTGAGACATATGTTAGGAGTGTAATGAAAAGATTCCGCATTATGTTTTTGAAGAAAAAATTTTAATTTTTTGCTAATTTTCATGTGTTTATGCAATGAATGAGTACTAAGGGATTGTACAAGACCTCCGAAAGGTCAAGTATGCTATGTTCTGACTTGAATGATTCCCTAACTTGCAGGGTGTACTTTGGGTCGTGCAAAACTTGGTATTAGAGTATAAGGTTATGAAATGGTCTTAGAATGTCTTAAAACTACGTCTAGTAGAGTCCTATTCATCAATGTGAGTCGCGACACATCTTTGTAGACTACGGAATTCTTAGGAAAGTTTCACTTCTTCATTCTATAAGTTGTGCCATACAGTTTTTCTTGGTTAAGCCCTTCTTCTAATTTTTGCCTATGATTTTGTTCAGGTTATGTATAACACTAGGGCTAATACTAGAAGGGAAGGAGATGACATTGAGAATCAAGAGGTTCCTCCCCAAGGAATCAAGTCACTTCCAAAATTCCTAATGCTAGTCAAGTGGGAAATATGACTATAGAGGAATTTAGGACTTCTATGAATTTGTTGGCTCAAGTTTTGATGGCCCAAGCCAATAGCGAGGTTGTGTCAAACCCTATAGGGGGGAATGTGTGCTTATATAATTAAAGATTTCTTGAGGATTAATCCTTCGAAATTGAGTGGCTCCAAGGCGGAAGAAGATCCAAATGGGTTAACAGATGAGGTTTCTAAGACTCTTGCTATTATGGGGTTGACTTCTAGCGAGAAAGCGGAGCTAGCCACTTACCAATTGAAAGATGTGTTTCAAGTTTTGTATGAGAAATGGAAAGATTCTAGGCAGGTAGAGGCGGTTCCCATAGAGTGGGAGATCTTTAATTCGACTTTCCTTGAAAGGTTTTTTCCTACGGAATTGACGGAGGCTAAGTTTGGGGAATTCATAAACCTGAAACAAAATAAGATGAGTGTTAAGGAGTATGCTTTGGAGTTCACTCAATTGTCTAATTATTCTCCAATCTTGGTAGCAAACCCCAATAAGTTTGTGACGGGGGTGTCCGAATTTAGTGGAAGAAGAGTTTCGTATGACAATGCTTGTAGATGATATGGATATCTCCCGACAAATGGTGTTTGCTCAACAAATAGAGGAATACAAGCTTAAGAAGGAGAGAAAGAGAAGTAGGATGGAAGGTGAAGGGTCCGATGGACATGGTGATTCAAAGAATCGACAAAGGTCTTTCCGACATGGCTACTCTAGTACTCTTAGATATGAGAAGAGCAATGACTACTCCCGACCTACTTGCCCTAAGTGTGGTAAGAAACATGAGGGTAGGTGTTTGTCAGGTAGATATGGTTTCTATGGATGTGGTGAGAGCAGTCATATGATGAAATATTGCCCTAAGACAAAAGCTAATGTATGGGAAGGCAAGCAAGTTTCTACTAATCAAGTGGAAGATAGTCCTCCAAAGAGGAATAGGTTCTATCTCCAATCCAAGGGGGATCAAGAATGATCTCCTTAAGTCCCTCTCCAGTATTTGTTTCTTTACTAATTTATGAAAATTCTCAAAATTTCTTATGATTAACATATGCCTTGTGATTTTGCCGCTTTCCTTATGATAAGAAATTGATGTTAGAAAGACATGTATAGCTTATTCCAAGAGGGGGATAAGGAGCCTTTTATGAAATATTTATATGGTTATGTGTAGTTATGTTTAGCTTGCAATTGAATTGTTTTCTTGATTTGTGTATACGAATTTATGTTTAATGCATGTACAATGGGCTGCTAGTCTAGAGTTGGTCCTTTAAGAACTGTTTAGTGAGGTGTCATTCAAGGAAGAATGTTTCCCAAGTAGGGGATATTGTAAGGACCCCAAAATGAATTAGGTCCAAATAGAGCCTAACATGAATTTCATGATCTTAGAAGGTCTTAAAATGACTAATTTTAGTGTTTAGAGGCAGCATATGAAGTTTGAATGATTTTGGAGGTTCAACGTCCAAGGACGTCTACGACGTTCGAAAAATTATCTTGAAAATATGATTGCATGCATTAGTATGTTTCATGATGTTTTATGTAGTTTTTGGAATTAAAATTGGTAAGGAAGGTTCCTAACATATGGACAGATGTATTTGAGTGGAAACATCCGGGCATGACTCCCCAAGGAACACCCAAAGGGTCCTTGAGGAGGACCCAAAACTGGACAGCACACTGCCTTGGCAGTGTCACTTCGCGACCTTCAAGTGATGCCCCATCACTCAAGCTACGCCCCGTCGATTGGGACTCTCTATCAAGAACAAAAAACCTGCAGTATGGCGCCGTCGTTCCATCGACGATCTGTCGACTATAGGCGTCCATGGGGGCCTCCAATTTCTTCAAAGGTTTGGCCAAGGGTGGGACATTTTGGTAAATTCATATAGCGTCCAAATGAATGCATGTGCAGTTAAATTAGGCGTTTTTAGGTATTTTATGAGTATTTAAAGTATAGGAGACCCCTTTAGACAATAGACCCCAAGATCAAAACCTCTCCTTCTCCAAAACTCTCTCAAGAATACCACAGAAGAAGAAAAAAATAAGAAGTTGCTCTTAGGATGCATTTCAACAAGGATTCAATCTTGGATTAAGTCTCTAACCTAAGTTATGTGAAGCTTATTCATCCATGGATTCTTCCATTCATGGATTACCCTATTTATTCCTCAATTGTGAATCCAAATAAACTCAACCTAGAGAGCATTGTGATGGCATTGTGGTTAAGGCTTGATTGCAATCCCAATCTAGTGGGTACCATTCAATTATGTTCATATGTTGACTATGTGATGTTTTTATGGTGAATTGTAGTAATTGATGTTGAAGGTGATCATAGTGATTTTAGGGAAGATGAAGGTTCTAAGTTGATCTTCTTAATTCAATTGTATTATATGTTAATTGAATCACATAGATATGAATTGAACCTATGTGATCTTTTATGGCTAAACTTACCTTCTAATGATCTAATTGAATGAAGTACACATGTAACTGAACATATATCATAATGAATTGAAGGTTATAATTGATTATGGGTTGTAATGCCATTGAGGCGAGGGCTTTGGGAATAAAGTCATTATGAATGGATTGACGGTTTGTATATTTTGTACACATAGACATGAATATGATAGGAGAAACAAGTTCTCTCACATAGATGAATCCTAGATTGACCTAAGAACTTAAAATGAATCAATACATGATGAACTAGATTAGCTTGAAGATAGATTGTATGATCACTTCTTGTGTAATAGACTTGGCGAGATAAGACCAAGGCATGATAGCTTGAGATGTGAATTCTCATGATATCTTGAGATAGTGGATATCATGCTAGATTGAGATGGTAGGTCTCAAGGGCAACTTGGGATAGTAAATCTTAAGGAGGCTTGAGTTGAAATACTCATGGTAGCTTGAGATGTTGAATCTCATGAAAGCTTGGGTTGAATTACTCATGATAGCTTGAGGTGATGAACCTCATGATAGCTTGGTATGGAGGAAGTAAGCTCTCTCATGTTTATATTGGTCATGTGTTGCAAGTAATCTCTCTCATGTTTAGCTTGGTCATGTGTTGCAAGGATTCTTGATCATGGTAGCTAGGGGATGGTGGTTCTCATGTTAGCTTTGGATGGAGGAAGCAAGATCTCCCATAATTAGCTTGGTCTTGTGTTACAAGGATACTTGATCATGTTAGCTTGACTTAGTTAGGCAAAAACCATTTCATGGTAGATTTAGGGGAAAGTCCTATACTCTCCTAATGTTAGCTTGACTTTCATGCAAGGTGCATTTCGTGGTATCTTGATTTGCATGCAAGGTGTGTTTCATGTAATAGCTTGAGATAAATTTCTCATTATGGCTTAGGGTTGAGGTTTCATACTCCCCTATGATTAGCTTTAATTTACATTTGCCCGATTCCCCGACCCATTACTCATTCCTTCCCGACTCGATAGGGATTGCAATCGCGAGAGAGGGAGCAACTATTGACCTCTGACAATAGGTAGATGGGGTGGGCGTGAAAGGTTTCCCGTTGAGGTTTCCGACCCTCCAGGTCTCCACCTACTTGTGGAATAGGGGGGTTCCTTGATATTAAGGTGTCAAGGCGGTCGAAGAAGGCCACAGGTGGAAGCAACCGATGCCTTGATCATTCAATTGACTCCTTGTTGCCAGTCCGTGCTTGCTGTCATGCTGGCAAAAGCAGGGGTTTTTGGTTGCATGGTGGTTAGGATTGCTGTATCCTTCCTTTAGTTAGCTTGATCAGTATGTTGAGATGATTTCCATGGTAGTAGGTCTATTATGATAGTATATTAAGCTTAATAGACAAAAATGCAAAATAAGTTAGCTTGGAGTAGGATAGTCTGGAAGAGTACTTAGTGTGGATGGTAGTATGGGATGTCATGCATACATTGTACAAGTATGACTTGAAGCTACCTATGACATGACCACTACATGATGTATGCTTATCTTGGATAGTTGCTATAATTGGTTTCCATGACATGATTGACTTAAGATGATAGTTCCTTGTTAATATGAAATAGGTCTACTAGAGACTCCTAAACTATAATGAAAGAGAATAGGGTGACTCCAAGACATGCTTAGTTTGTGAGGTAGAATGAGATGTTTTACATGCATTGCACAAGTGTGCTTTGAGGTGGCCTAGGGGCATAGTGCTAATATGTTATGATGAACTTAATGTCTTAATTATGAAAGCAGATTATGATCAAGAATGACCAAAGAGAGGTACTTAGCTTTAGTAGTAGTATGTGATGTTACCTTAGTCTTGCACAATTGTACTTGGAGGTGGCTTGTGAAGTAGTTAGTTTGAGTAAGAAACACAACGAGTTAAGTACGAACTGTTATATGCTTTATGATGGTTTATTAAGCTTATGATATTCATGTTATGCTTATGTGTTTATTTCTTATGATTATGTTTGTTATTGACTAACCCTTTGGGATATCTTATATTTAGTATGATAGTTTCCATACCTTGTATATTTTGTACTAATGAATATTTTCCCTATATTCTAGTCCAATGTAGGGTCTTTAGGAGATTCAGTTGCTTTGAAGGGTAGAGTTTCCAAGGCTTTCAAGAAGTGAAGATTGGTGAATCCTCATAGCATCAGAGGACACCACCACTAATGTTTAGGCTTTTATGCGTTATGACCCAAGACTATTGTATTCATGGTTTTTGAGACTTATGTTAGAATTTTTATGAAAAGATCCTGCATTATGTTTTTGAAGAAAGAATTATTATTCTTTGCCAATTTTCATGTGTTAATGCAATGAATGATGTCTAAGGGCTTGTACAAGACCTTAGAGAGGTCAAGTACGACGTGTTTCGACTTGAAGGATTCCCTAATTTCTAGGGTGTACTTCGGATCGTGAACATAAACTCCAAAAGTTTAATAAAACAAATGAACAATTACAAATGCGAAAAATACAACCCCTAAAACCTGAAAGTCAGTGCATTAAAATTCTAACAACGACAAGACTAAGAATAGGGGGGTTCAATCTCGAAACTAACAAGCACCTTAAACAATAGTATGAGTCCGAAAAGAGTGGAATCAAATAAGAGAGATCCATGGTATCCTGAAAGAACTGACTCATCCTTGAACTTGGTCATGCTCAATAGTCACCTAGTTGAGGTCTATCAATAGCTGTAGGAAAATGCCCTGTACTCAACAGAAATAAAAGCAAGTGCAGTATCAGTACACAACTGATAGGATCATACTGATAGGATCACACGGCTATCCCACTAGGTGAAATATATATATATAAGTAATTACAACACTGTAACTATGTAACATACCCAATATCAGCAATATTGAGTAACACAACCTTCATAGCATAAAAGAACCAAACCACAACCCCTCTTAAGGTCCACTTGTGCAATGCATGAATGAGTTCACATTCCCCCACTCACACTAAGTAGAACTCTTTGAGAAGTCATTATTCATACTTCATGTTCATGTTTTTAACAATAATCTAACATATTACAAGCCAATTATGGAACCCAATTCAATGGTCCTCTCATGGAACCAAACTCAAATGAGATCCAATATTCATGTTGAAACATGGCAGTCGATCACATAGTT